CTCAACCTGTTTAAGACTCAGTTTCCTATTTTGTAAGACAGGGATAATAATGAGATCTACTTTAAGAAATAGTGCATATAAACACAGTCCAGTACATGGCATATAATAAATGCTCAAGAAAAGCTAGTTATTTATCTTCATAATTGAAGAAGGGATTTCCTAGCCATTGTGAGTGATTTCAGTACATGACTTTATTTTATCATTTCCTCTCCAGCTAAATAACTTTAGGGATTTAAAAATGTTAATAAGTTACTTTAATTTATAAAAACAAAGGAACAACTCATTAACCAGTATTTATAAAGACTAAGAACATTAGAAGTATGAATAATATTAGAAAAAAGCAGCAAAGATTTGGGATTCATACATTATAGAGTCTATAAAGTTAGAACCTATCATTTTATAGTACCATAAAGATCAGGTTATTTTTTTTTGGTCCAGAAAAAACAAACTCCCATTTCTAAAAATATCTCAGGTTTTCTTCATGACGAAGTCATCTTGGAACAAAATACCCTATTATCATTGAAAAATACCCTACTATCATATAGGATAGTATGTCATGAACAAGACTATAAAAATGTAGTGGTGTGTGAGCCAAGGAAAAAAAAATCTGGAAAAGTGACTAAGTAGAGGTTTTCCTCCAAATTTAATTACACCTGTGAGTTTTCTCTTCTGTGACTATTTCTTTGATACTCCCATGTACATGATAAATACTTCCTTAGAAAATTACAAATCACTTTTTAATAAAAATATGTACTACACATAGTACATATGCTTCTTTTAGAAAAGAGAATCAATTTTGTTAAAGAACGATAAAGAAGAATTGAAATTTAACTCTTGAGAAAAGCAAACATGTATCTTGCTGATACTCTTTTTACTCTAGTTTTTATATTTAAATATAATCCAGTTTTAAAAAGGCATTATAAAACAATCTGAAGCCAGAGTAGCCAACCCAGACCACCCTATAAAACGAATGCTATGAATTCAAGGAATATACTTGCTATGAATTTGATAGATTCAAAGACTACACAGGCTATATGAATTTTGGCTTTTTATTAGATAACTATTCCACAGTGATGTTACATAATCACAGGAAAAATAAAAACATGGTACGACACAGAAATTTTATAAGCCTGTGAACTTTACCACTGAGGTGGATTTACCTTTGCTTATGAGATTTAAGAAAAACAGAAAAAAAGACTTAGATATAGATGAAATAGGATAGCTTCTCTTTCTAATTGACTAAATCAAATTCATTATTGAAAAGTACAAATAGGAAGCTTTCTAAAGCATACGAGTTCTTTTGTTCTCAGACTTCATATACAGCATGTAGGCTTATTTTATATATTGTAACCTTTTCATGGTAAAATAACATCAGCAATTATATAGTAGCTTTAAGCCTCTGAATAATTTAGGACTACAAAAATGATTATTCAGAAGAAAGTACAGGGAAAAACTTAGGTAGGCAATGTAATTTAGCGAGGATTCTGGTTAAGAGAAAGTTAAAAAGGTAAATCATAATTTCCTATCTTAGTGTTAGCCTCAAATAAAAAAATCTCTGAACATTTTACTTCTCACAGGGATTTGAGGATTAAAAACAAAGGTGTATGAAAAAGCCCAAATGAAGTACAAAGAAAAGGAACACAAATGATAATGAGGAGCCAAACAAGGGATTTTGACCTAATGAATGAATTAAAAAAGGAATTAAAACTTTGAGAAGATACAGATGGAATCCATGAGTTGTGCAGCACTGTGGAAAAATATAAACCAAAAACACCCCATGAAAAACAAATGTATCTCATCCCAAAGAATAGTTTTCTACAACAGTCTAGTCAGATTAACTATAGTAACTTTGACCCATAAAATACTCATATTCTTTACAGAAAAACTATTTTCATGCATTTAAAATGAAAAATTAGTGAAAAAATCTGATGATCTACCTCACATTTTAATACATGCTCTTTCATCTAACTCAAAATTTGAACTTATACTAAAATGTAATAGTCAAACATACATGTAAAAACGACCCTGCAATTAAGATAATTGCTGGTACCAATGTTGTTTTTAAGTTCCGTAATAAAACACTCTCTCAGACATTTAATGGTATGTCATTTAGTAAATGAAAGTTTCTACAAAGGAAGAGCAGCAAGAAGACCTAAAAATTATGCTGGTGAAGAGTCTGGCTGAAAGAAATAAAAATACAGATCATTTTGGTCCAACACTAATTTTATTTTAAGTTACTAAAGAGCTGGATAAAATGCTGACACCACCACACAAAAATTTATTGAGTTGGCAATAGGCAGAGCATGATGTCAGTCACCAGTATCGCCATCCACATTCCCAAATAGCATGAACAATTTAGTTCTTGAAAGTAAAACACTTTATGCCTAAAGTTACTGTAAAAACAAAAACCTTAGCCATAAGGCATTATTAAACATACAGGAGTTTAGTTTTGGCAAAGCTTTGACTCAAAGTAGTCTAGCACGTTAACAAATTCAGTAAAAAACATAGGAAAATGTAAGCTTAAAAATATTACAATTTTCGAAATGTGTTACATTTTTCACCAAACAGACCCATGTAAGCAAATTTTAAGCAACACTCCAAACAAAATCAAATCCATTGCCACCACATCAATTCTTATATCGATCCTGGATCCTGTAACGGCTGAGTAGAACTGTCCCGTAGGGTTTCCAAGGCTGTAAACCTTTATGGAAGCAGACTGCCTTATCTTTCTCCTGTGGAGTGGCTGGTGGGTTCAAACTGCTAACTTTTTGATTAGCAGTTGAATGTTTTCACCACTACACCACCAGAGCTCCTTTAGCAATACTCAGCAATATTCAAATAAGTAAAACCAAACACAAACAAAATATTGACCAACAGGAGACACAGAAACACATACACATACATACCAATACAAGTCCTTACCTTCATGGCATGAATTTCTTCAAGTAATCGTTGTGCCCGTCTTTGGTTTTTTAACAGCGCATCTTCAGAACCCCTGCAAAGATTATAAGATTTAGTCAGCGAAAACATTAATTTTAGACTCATATTTTATAAGAAGTCTGTTTCTTTTAGAAAAGCATAATAAATTTCTAAATAACAAATAATCTGCCACTTAGCATCGCCCTGCCAAAAACATCCACAAACTCCAATAACTGCATAAACTCAAGTGTTAGAAACTGACAAAAAATAAACACTGTTATGGTATTATCTTAATGACTGTTGTCACAGGTAGATAGTTTGTCTTCCCTGATTCATTAATGTAAGACCAGTAATATTTTCATAAATTAACCAATCACACCTAGTATTTAATGTAATATAAGTTTCACAAGCTATAATTAAAAATGGGATATAATTTTATTAAATGTAAATTTGTTCTTCAGAATTAAAAGAATAAATCATATATATATGATTATATCAGAGAGGAGGGATATCATCTTGAAGATTTATACAACAGGAAATTAATCAGGAAGGAAACATACTTGAAGACCTTGTAAGTATTCATGCTTAAAGCAATAAGAACTATAAATAACAGCAGCAAAGCTGAAAATACAAATTATTATCTTTTTCCAAAAGTTACATGGAACATATTATTTTGGTAAACACTTTCACAAAGCAGACAATTTCAAATTAACCAGCAATTAGTAACAAATTAGGAAGAAAATGATATAAAATTTTCATAACTGATTTAAGGTGTTATTAGATTTATAAAATTATATCAACATTTTAAAATTTCTATTAATATAAAACATATAAATAGCACCCAAATATTTTCATTCTGTAAAAAGCAAGGAGAGTTTTGAAAAACAGCAGAGAAATTCCTGTGTCTTAAGGGAATATGGTCCAAATCATGTATGGAAGGGCTTACACAGCACATTTTATCTCATTCAGATCTTCTCTATGTATAAAATACAGTATGAGTTATTGTTGTTATGTGCTGTTGAGTCAGATTCAACCCATAGTGACCCCTCCTTGGGTTTCTGAGGTGGTATCACTAGGGAAGTAGATTGCCCAACCTTCCTCCCCTAACCTTCCTCTCAAGGAGTGGCTGGTTATACCACTAGGCCTCCCCTACAAATTTTGTAAACAATGAATAAAAACAACTTCTGACATTTTGTTAGTTACAGGACTATTAACTTAAATGACTAACTTTTTTGACTTCAGTCGGCCAACATTCCTAACAAGCTTTCGGATAACCAAAACTCGAATTCTCTTCACATCTTTCCTCATCTTCACAACCTTAGAGAAATAAAACAAATATTAAAAAGGTAGCTTAATTCAGGAATAAACACATTTTCATATTGAGCCTTAATATTATAGACTTAGTTTACCATTTTAACCAAATTTTTGCTAGACTATATTCATAATTTGATAAAATTAAACTTCTTTCATAAACAGTGGAGATATAAATCAACAGTCTAAAAATGTGTCTAAGGGCTTAACAGAAACAAGTTATTACAAAAAAAAGGTCAAAGCATTCCCAGTGATTAGTATTTGAATATTATATCTGTAATCTGTAAAATATAAACTGAGTTCCCTGAGACCAAAGACTATATATTCACCTTTGTATCTTTATATTCTGTAACAGAGCCCCATCTGTAATGTTAGAAATTTAACATATTCAATGAGTGTTTGAATTAACAGAAGTAAAAGTATGAAAGTGATTTTACTTTGCTTGCATTTATTTTTCAGTAATAAATTACTTCAAGCATAACTTTAAAAGAAACCACACAAACACAAGGGCACATTTGTACTCACACACACAAATACATGTTTTAAATCATCCCATTAGAGAACAATGCTGAACTCTAAGATTAAAAACAGAATTACTGGCCAAGACATGGATATATTTTACTTACAAAGAAGTATGTTATGATACTCATCAGTATGATAGGATGTGGTTATCACTTTCGGTTTATGTTCTGTCTGTCATGATGAGAAGACCTGGAATGTCCCTTCTTCCCTGTTTGAATAATTTCTTTTAGAAGGATCAGCACAAGACTGGTCCCTATGAGGCAGAGGTTAAAGATGTCCCAAGTCCAAACTGCTGTGCCACTGCATCTCTGACATCAACTCCTCTTTCTCCCAAGTACTCTCCTTCCTTTCTTAGAGTTCTACATTTCACTGTAATGTCTCATGAAACTCACAAATGTCCAAGGAAACCAGGTCACAAGGTAGTGGTGGAGGCTGGGAGGCTGGCTAGTCCCAAGCCTGTGGGTAAATCTGGAGGATTCTTCCAACTCACATGGTTGCAGGGGCTGACAAACCCAAATCTGCAGATCATAACTGGCTGCTGTCTCCAATGCAAGGGTGTGATGATGACAACCAAAAGCAGGACCAAAGCAGAACATTCACATATATACCGTAAGGAAGCTAAGGGTGGTGACTTGAGTTGCACCCTCCAGAAAGGTGGGACTCAAGATATATCCTACCCTAAACAGGCAAAGAGACTAGGATTTACAGTACATCACAAAATGGAGGATGATAGCTAGAAGGGTCATATTAAGCAATTCACTGCACTGCCATTTCCCTTCTTCACATGAGGAATTACCTAAAAGATACATTCTTTCCTATAAAACTTTCCCTGACCTCTTCAGTTACAGGTAATCACTCTTCTTAAAAAGAAAAAGGAAAAACAAACAAACAAGCAAACAACCCCCCAAACCCAAACTCACTGCTATCGAATTGATTTCAAGACATAGCGAACCCCTTGGGGTCCCCAAAATACTCTGGAGGTTCTTTTCCTAAAGCATCTAATTCATTGTACTGACAATAACTGCTTACGCAGCTGTCATGTTTTGTAGAATGGGATCTTCTAGAGGACAATGCCTTGCATTATTTATATACTGTTTTCTGTGCCTTACAACAGTACCTGGCACACACAATCCTTCAAAGTCTTCTTGCCAAAATAATACCAAGAATACAATTTCTTTTCACTATATTTCAAGCTCTCTCATTTGACTATAACACCTTCTTTTACTCTTAATTACCATCATTCACCCCCTCATTCACTGAATCTACTGGCACCCAACAATTTATTTCCACTCTAAATGACTTAGATGTCCACTTAAATAACTCACCCAATATTACATCCTTACTTCTTGCCTTCATTTCTAATGACCTAATCAATTTCACTTCAGCCACCTACTTTTATGGCCACATTGTACATAGACCTTGTCATCACTCATAACCACTTAATTTCTAAAATGATAAATTCAAATACTATTATCACAACTTCTATCAGCTGGCTTGTTCAATTCCACCCACAACAAGCACTTCTGAGTTCACTGGGACCACCAGTCCTCTGACCTAAACTTTCTCTTAAACAAATGTGCATTTTCTTTTTAATTTTTTTTCGCTCAGCTGGTTCAGGTACATAATTAACACTTGCTAATATCCCAGACTTTCTTACACCTCTAGTTAGTAAAACCTTAATCCTAGATGAAAACATTTTGAGCTCCTCATGCCAGCACCCCCGTAGCTAGAAACCACTTGAGACGTTTTACCTATTAAAATTTAATCATAAGAAACCTCAAATGGGCCCTCACATATCCTAGGAATCCTATCATTTTTTTCAGGTCAATTTACTCTACAATGACTATTTTATTTATTTATTATGGTCATGAGGTATTCCCTTTTGCCTAAATATACCTAATCATTTAGTCTGTTAACTATGGTAGCATAGTACCTAAGGCACTTGACTGCTAACCAGAAGGCTGGTGGTTCAAACCCATCAGCCACTCCTCGGAAGGAAGATGGAGCAATCTACTTCCGTAGTGATACTGCCTCGGAGACCCAAGGAGGGGTCGCTGTGAGTCAGGTACGACTCGACGGAACATAACAACAACAATGTATCTAGGAGCTCTGGTGGCATAGTGCCTAAGGCATATGACTGCTACCCAGAAGGCTGGCGGTTCAAACCCACCAGCCACTTGGAAAGAAGACTGGGCAATCTACTTCCATAGAAATACTGCCCTGGAGATCCAAGGAGGGGTCGCTATGAGTCAGAATCGATTTGACGGCAGTGAGTTTGGTTTTTTTGGTTACCTATGTATGTAACCATAGGAGCTCTGGTAGCATAGTGCCTAAGGCACTTGACTGCTCAACAGAAGGCTGGCGGTTCAAACCCACCAGCCACTCCTCGGAAGGAAGGTTGGGCAATCCTACTTCCGTAGTGATACTGCCTCGGAAACCCAAGGAAGGGTCGCTATGAGTCGGGGCCGACTCGATGGCAAAACAACAACAACAACAACAAACAATGTATGTAACCATAGATTGGTACTCCTTACTACTGATAATGAAGTACTATGTATGTAAAAGTGTTTATCTTTGTTGTCTGTACTTCTTGTGCACTTCCCTCTGTCCTCATTTTCCTTAATGTTATTGTGTTGGACACTTGCTTATGGTATATTGCTTTTCCCTTCACCCAAATCAATACTAGTCTTCTACCTATCTAGCAATTTTCTCTCCCTCACCATTCCATCCCTGGTAATCAATAAAAAAAGTTTCCTTCCATATGTAAATGTTTCCTGGGCTTTTTACATTGTTGTTGTTGTTGTTATTTGCCACTGAGTCGGCCCCGACTCATAGCGACCCCTCCTTGGGTTTCCGAGGCAGTATCACTACAGAAGCAGGAATGCTCAACCTTCCTTCCGAGGACTGGCTGGTGGGTTTGAACTGCCAGCCTTCTGGTGAGCAGTCAAGTGCCTTAGGCACTATGTTACCAGAGCTCCTTTTCACATTAGTGAACTAATACAATATTTGTTGTTCTGTGATTGACCTTATTTCACTCAGCATGATGTCTTTTCCAAGTTCATCCACATTATAAGGTGTTTAGCAGATTCTACCTTATTCTTTAGTGCTGCACAGTATTCTATTGTGTTCATGTACTACAGTTTGGTCCATTTCTCCACTGATGGGCACTTAGGTTGTTTCCACCTCTTTGCTACTGTGAATATTGCTATGAACATGGGTGAGCATGTATCTATTTGTGTCCTTCCTGGCTCTCACTTCTTTAGCATATATACCTATAATGGGACTGGTGGATGAAATAGTATTTCTATTTGCAACTTTGTAGGGAATTGCCATACTGATTTCCACAGTCGTTGTATCATATCACAGTCAGAGTCCCAATCTTTCCACATCCTCACAGGCATGTTTGGCTGCCTGAGTATCCTCTTTGGTGAAATGCCTGTTTACATCTTCTGCCATTTTAAAAAATTGGATTATTTGTCTTTTGATGCCAAGGTGCTGGAGTTTTCTATAAATCTTGAAGATAAGTCCTTCGTTCGATATGTTGTTGAATATTTTTTCATGTTCTGTCGGTTCACTTTTTACTCTTTCCAAGTAGTCTTCCGTTAGGGCCCCTAAGTTTACCACTATTTTTTCTTTGATGAACTTTATAGCTTTAGGTTTTACATTAAAGTCTTTGATCTATCTAGAGTTAGTTTCGTGGATGGTGAGAGTTATGGATCTTGTTTCATTTTTCTGCAAATGGATATTCAGTTTTGCCAGTACTATTTGTTAAACAGACTATCTCTTCCCC